GAAGCAATTTTTTACTGTTTAACATGTTGCTCAGGGATCTGAGGTTGTACATGCTTAAAAATTACCTGGAATTCTAGGTAGCCTTAAAATATCTGAAGAATTGATTTCAAAGATCTTCCTTTTGCCAGTCATTTGACTCCCTTCTAATATTCAGCATCAATATTTAGCATGACATCTGAATAATCATGCTGGTCTAAACTGATTTCTCTGTCTCAAGATGAAAGCAGAATAACTGGCCTAATTCTGATTAATGATGTTCTATGTATCCCCAGGGTTACTGCCTGATAGGTGGGCTAAGGGACATAAAAACGTCTACTGTTACTGAATTACCATTTATACACAGGAGAAGGTTCTGCGTGTTCAGCCTGCATCCTGATGGAGATGATCTTGTTCATCTACTGATTTACAGACAACAGAATGCACTACTAATTAAAGTATTTAAGGCAAGGTGTTCTGCAGGGTAGGGATAGGAGGGGCAGGAGAAATACCTCCTATTCCCAACCTCTAGTATTCCCACCAACCTTGGGTGAGCTTCCTACCTCTGCAGCTGTTTCCTCTTGCCTCTTTTCACTCTCAGCTACTCAGGTGTTAAGATATTTAGGGTAGAATCTCCTCACACATTTGTTCTATGCCTTAGCAAATGGGAATTTTGTCTCCTTTTGGTTTTGTAGACACCAAGTCAATATTGATTGACAGTCTTCTACACTAAGCCTGCTTAAATGGCTTTTTCCATTGACCATTTATCTCTCCAATTTGCATCCCAAAATGTGGTATCAGATGGTTACTACAGTACACACTTGGGATTTAATTTCCTCTTCCTTTCTGCAAGTAAGGTATCTGTGGTATTCTGTTCTATGGTGAGTTCTGTAACTTGGTGAGAAAAACCTTATCAGCTACAAATGTAGAGTAAGATATATGTTAGCAGGGAGGAACTGGAAGGTAACTTAATGTTCTGTGTTTTACCTCTTCATTATGTTTCTTTTGTCGAGTTTGAATAGAAATGCACGTGTTATGCATATGTGTATAAATAGCAGAAAATTACAGTAAAGGTGGTGTGCTTTGCTGGAAGCACTTCAAAGATTGCTTTAGAAGTCTTAGAAATGAATGGAAAATTAACGTGTGTTTTTTGTAGGAGAGACTGAGCTGCCATTCTGATTTAGCATCTAATGCTACTTCCTATTTCACCTAAAATAGTTTTCATGCTTAATTTCTACGTAGTTTCAGTGAGAATGTTTGAGGCATGTGTATAAGGCCAGTGATAAAACCTTTAAGTATTTAAAAATAATAGACAAACAAATTCCTCAAATGGCTTGAGGACTGGGTTGCGGTATAACATCAAATATACTTACTGTTTTTTACATTGCCCTCCAATGCTTCCTTGAGATGTTTTATGGTGGGACTAGTCTGTTCAGAAACTATGACACATCGTTGATGAATACTGGCATTTGCTTTAGTTTGATTTTCTACTGAAGCATCACTGTGAAATGGCAGATACTGGAAACAGTATTGTAGTTTGCTACAAAGTTGGCTTGATGGTCTTCAGTTTCCATTTGCTTCAATTTACTTTTCCTGTGGAGAATGAAAATGACTGGTCTAGCCACAGTTCAGGAAGATTTTCTCTGGGGTAACAATGAGCAGAAAACTGAGTTGCCGATGTGTCTGAATTCTTTCCTTGATGGCAGCTTAACTGACTCAGTGGCATAAAACAAAATTAGTAACAATTCAAATGCGTAATCTTTCCTCTGGTTAGAACCTCCCTGACAAATAGTTATTATTTGGCTAACAAGGAGTAATTAAGCTTCTGCAGGGAGGAGGAAGAGAAAAGTTAGTGACCTCTTAAGGCTGAGCCTCAGCAGGGTCTAACTAAAGCTTCTTCCTGAAAGTGTGAGTCACTCTATGAGACTGTGAGCCGGTTTTCCCTCTGATTTCCTCACCACTCTTCAGTTGTGTTTTTAACTGTGGTGAGCAAACAAGATTAGAATAAGCACAGTTTTAAAATAAAGTTGCTGAGATGTCAGGCAGCTTTCGAGAAAAGCAGAAGTATGTTAAGTTGCATCAGAACTAACTTTTGTACCATGCAAGAAATTTAGAGTTTATGTAGTGCTATCAAGGACTTCATGGTTAAGTGTGATCACTGTTCATTGATGTTTGATGGATTATAAGTCAATCTTACCTTCAAAGGCTTAGAATGTAAAGTCTTTGATAAACAAAGATCAGACTAGCACATTAAAACAGAAGAGTTGCTTAAAATAACTTGCACTTTGGGTGTGGATGCAGTTAGTCCTGTAACTTTGTTAAAGCTATTTTGGGTAAGTATAAAAAAAGGCTTTGTTCAACAGCAAGTTTATGTCTGCATACGAACTTCAGTTTATCTGTTGTTGCTCAATTCGTTCAATCCTATAAAATCTATTTTAAATATGAGTATGTCTATATAAAATCATGTACTAGTTTTATGCATAAGTTGTAAGTATCCTTTTGATTAACCTGCCAAAAGCTGGAGCAGCTGAGGCTTTTATAAACTACTCATTTTAACGAAACATAACCTATTGACCTGAATGGAACTATTTATATTTTCAGTGGAAAACAGGTCCTGTTCTGGCAAAGGATTTTCGCATGTCATTTAAATAACAGAATAACAGGAATAACAGAAAGAAAGAAGAAGAATGAAGCAAAGTACATGTTTTTGGTGTTTTTTTTTTTACAATTACTTTGTGGGGCATTTTTTTTTTATTTCATTTTTCCACTCTATTGTTTTTATAAAAATGTGCTGCTGAAAATCACTGACCTATGTTCAAAACAGAAATTAAGTCCCTGCCATGAGGAGAATCATGTGTGAACTATATTAATTGCTTTTGCTCAGTGACATTTCATAGAACCTAACTGTATTTCAATGCACTTTAACAGAGATGTCCTGTATTTACTGGTGACCTTGTGATTGTTCAGCTACTAAATAAAGTAAGTTTGTTAGGTTATCTGCATGTGCAAAAGTTGTTTCCTTCCTCCTTAGGTGGAATAGCTGTGGCCAAATTAGAGAAATGCTAATTTACTTCAAGATGATAGATGTTTCTGGTAATATTAACAGCTAAAATGTTAGCAAATCAAGTTCATGAGGAAATTAAATCCAATTAATTGATGTTAATTGTTTAGTTCACACCATCCATCTTGAGGAAAGAGCATAAATAATTGTCTGCAGATTCCAAAGTCCTGACTAAACTATGGAGAAAAATGTTAAGAAAAATGAGAGGGAAAAGGCTGCTAGGATACGCCTGCTGAATAAGGCAGGATTGTGTTTGACTGTTCACTGTACTACTGAGAGACTACAATATCTCTGCATTGGTGGAGTATTTTTGTTGCTTGCTGTAAGCTAGAGAAGACACTAAAGAATAAAAATTACCAGAAATCTGTCGATGATTCTAGTCTCCAATTTCCCACATATAGAAAACTCGTTTTATGAATTGTCACATATGAGAATTTAAAGTAATTCTTACAGTGGACTTCACTATCTGCTCATCTGTAGTGATCCTTACCAGAAGACCATTGTACATTGAGGATTAGTGCACTGCCTGTCCAGCCTGGCCTCCAGGCCCATGTGGGGCTGCGTGTGTCCCATGGCCGTGGGATAAACTGAACTGCTTGACTGTACCAGAGGAGCCTGCGGGCAGCTTCCGCTTGCTACCTGTGATTATACCCTCTGCATGGCCTGCCACTTCTCTGAAAAAGCAAGAGCTTCTAGTGTGAACATCCTTTCTGTTTGGCAGCAGAAACAATGTATAGGGTTGTTTCCTTGTAAGAAAATCCAAATGACCAAAATGGTGCAATTTTTCAATGGGCAGGATCTGTGTGACATGTTGCACTTTGAGACCTGGTTGATGCTGCTACAGCTCAGGGTTCCCAGGACCTGAAGGAATGCAAGATTATCGGTTCTGTACTCTTCGTTATAGTGTTAGCTCCAATAAATGGCATTTGAAGTGGTAGTTTAGAGTCTGAGTGCCTTTCTTACTGGGATCATAATGAACCAGCACCACTTGGTGCAAAACAGTCATCTTGCAGAGTGCTACTTTTGTTCTGATGATGCAGTTGGATGAAGACTAAAATTGGACCCTCAAAAAGTTAATTTTTTCCTTGTTCTATGTCTTGAATTCATAATCTTAGTGGTTCTGCTTAAAATCCATGAAAATGAAACCTCAACTTGATCATGAACTGTGGTCTGTGAATTATCTTAGGTGTAGTATTCAAAGCAATAAATGTTGTGACATTATCTTCTTGCCACTTCTGGCCTAGATGTGACTAACCATGTTGTTAGCAGAGAAATACCACCAAGGGATCCGTGAGAAAGCACAAGGAGTGTGGAGACATCTTAGGTCCTTGCACAGCAGCTGCTCTCACCGTTGCTTAGTCTTGACACCACAGCCCTATAACGTAACCACACACCCCCCCAGCCCCCTAACAACAGAACTTCTTGTGATGATATTTGTACCACTCCTCTTCTGAAAGTAGTGGTAAGGTGTTTTCTTTTAACCTTCCTGCCGGTATTTTTGACTGAACTTCTGGAAGTCCAGCTGTATGTAGGCTTCGTTGCAAGCTGCTTTTTTTAAATTCTTGGGGCTGAAACAGTCTAAGAAGAAAGTTACTTTCCTCTGTGTGAGCGTATCCTACTGCGAAAATCGGGCGGTGCCTCCCGTTAGGACCAACCCCAAGCTGGAGCCCGGACTGGCCGCAGTAGACGCCGGTCTCCCCCAGGGTCCTTGCGGGGCTGCCCTTGCCCGCGGGGAGG